ACACAGTCTTTGAGCCATTTAAAATTCCTAATTCATTACTTACTGCCATTTATATTTTTGATATATTATTAAGTTTTCTGAGTTTCTGTTTTTTCCTTGGCAAAATGAACTTCTACCTCACAGCACTGTGGGTGAACCTTCTTTGAAATAAATTCACACTTTGACATGTCCTTAGTAATCAGTAGAAATGGTCACACCAGATCTTTTTGCTGCAGCTGGGAAATAATAGAACACTCACTTGCTCATGTACTTGTCTGTGGTAATTTATGAAAAATCCTTAATTATTCAGAATACCTTGAATTGAAAAAAAGCTGATCTTTTTATGAAAGAAAACCCCATATTTATTTATTGCTTCCTTCTTCCCCCCTCTTCTTTTTCTTTCCACTTACTTATTTGTAAATGTTACACAAGTGCTTTATCAATGAGCTATACTTAACAACTCCTACAGTAGGTGATTCTACCTTCCCTCATGTTTCTTTGTATATAATATGTATATTTAAGCATGGTTGATTATATTTTATCAACTCATTTTATTTTTTAATCTAGGAATTATGAACTGCAGGAGCAATAAGATTAGCTGTTTATTTTCTTTGCACTGGATTGTGAAATCTTTCCTAAAATCAACATATTCATTGAATTGGATGGTTGTTAAGTGATTACACATATCACTCCAAAGGCCCAAAATGTTGTTCAATGGTTGCTGACATAAAGGCTGAACTCTGATATTCTACGCATAGTTTAAAAGTCATATAGAAGACCTCATCAAACTACTTGCTAAGATATGCTATAACCATAGTTGACAACTTTTTTATCAATCCTGCCCAATGATATTTCCTATAAGACTTGGTATCCTGCAGGCAGTAGGCATATTTTCTTATGAGTTTAGATGCAGTAAAAATTAAAATACTAGACTAATTATATGATAAATAAATATGGGAATTTGATTTCTTTTGGGACACTGATAACATAATCATTTAGTACCATTTATCAGAAAGGGATTATAGTCTCTAAAAACTGAAAAAACACAATTTTATATCATCCAAGTTTACAAATACAGGTAACGCCTGGCTTGAGACTGTCTGGATTTGTTAGAGAAGTACCAAGTATCTAGTCCCAGGTGCTAATACAAATGTCACTCTCTGGAAGAGCTTAAGTAATCTTTCTGTTATAGTACCTAGGAAAGACAGCGTTGTCATTTTGACTGTTAAATTCAACATCCATACTTTACAATGAAAATCCAACTATTATAGTGTTGCTTCACACCTAATATAACCTCAATTTAAATTAGCTACTTAGCACAGACTAGAATCTTTATTTGTAAAATAAAAATAGGTTAGCTTAAGCGTTAGTATAGTGAAGCAATAGTAACACACTCCTTTAATCCCAGCTCTTGCAGAGGGAGCCAAATCTCTGTGAGTTCAAAGTCAGCCTGGACCATGGAGGTAATTCCAGGAACGCCAAGGCTACATAGAGAAACCATCTGACAAAAGAAAGTTAGTATAAATAATTTTGTAAGGCTCATGATAACTGCCCCATCAGTTATTCCTCTTAACTACTTTATATTTAGAAATATAAATATATTTAAAAATACACAGATAAATGTATTATGAAATCTGAAAGAACATTTGGTAGGCTAGTGTAGTTTTCTACAGGAATAAAATTTTACAGCTTTCTTTTATTATTAGAATAATTTAGCTATATGTCATGTAGTACAATCTTATAGTAATGGGAATATTATGTTGCTCTGCTAGTTGTGTTGTGTTTTCATAACTCTTTTAACTTGAACTGATGAAAGTTCTTGTTTCAAGATGTTCTGCCCAGCAACCAGTGACCCTAAACTAGAAAGTAGATTTTTCTGCTGATGTAATTATTCAAGGCTATCTAAAAAAGCTATTTTGAATCATTATTTAGTAATGAAAACATTATAACTTCTGTGTATTTTTAATCTTCAAGTGTTTGACAGATAATTTTGGTACCATAAACAACCAAGAAGTTGACCCAGCACCTTTGGCTTCATAAATGAATTAGAGAGACAAGGGAAAGACATGAGTCCTATATTATTTACTGAGTTAGAAACTTGGTGGGGAGAGGAGGATAGGCAAGGACTTAAAATTATCATGCAGTTTTTATGCACAGTAAAGTCTAAGAACAACCTTAGCCAAAAAGATATAAAGGAAATAGCCATAATCATGGCAACCAACAGCAGGTAACGAAGCTGGAAGTGTGACAATCCTGCAGCTTCCTCTACAGTCCTCAACCTGTGGAAAACAGCCATTCCTAACATAGTCTATGGTGTTCTGAGAGAGTTCTGCAGCATCCCTGTGATAGGAGAAGAAAACACACGGTGCACTATGGCATGTGGATCATGAATGGTAACAGATCTGCTGAGAGACCTCACATGTGGAAAACAGAAATGCTAGGCACTTAATTCATGTTAATCTTCAGTTATTATAATTCAGTAGTGTTAACCTTAAAAGAATATGGCGTAATGAGAGTTTAA